TTGCAATACCTGCTAAAGTAGTCACTAATGTGTATCGTTGTGTATCTTATAATGGTGTTATTACTGTTATTAATACTCGTTCCTTATTCTCGTGCTCTCTCTCTCTCTCTCATTGTAGGCGAAGGTCACGTCTAACCTTGACTAGTAACACCTTGCTTTCTTGACATGTTGTGCTAGAGCTTTGATCTCTATAGCCTCTACTAGTTTAGTGAGCTACATCTGTCTGTGTCTGTCTGTCTCTCAACTAGTAGTAACCACTAGAGGCGTCGGAGCTTGCATATTGAAAGGCTCTAGCCGGCTATCATTTACCTGATTTACCTTAGGGCCACTGACCATAGTGGCCTCGATGAAGACAAGAAGCCGGCGGCTTGTCAGAGGTCCCACCATTTGCACTGGTGACTTCTCCAGGTATATTTTAAAACAACACTTTTGGCAGTTACGGCTTGGGTGGGTAGGCGGTTCCATGGGTTAATAACACTGTGGGTTAAGAAGCAACTTTTGTTCTCAGTCCTACACTGTGGACTGTTGAGGTTGTAACCGTTGCTCCTTGTTTGTGTTACATCTGACCTCTTGAAGAACATATCTGAATCAACTACAGTTTCTCTATACTGCGCTACACCTAGGAGCTCCCAAGTGGAGAGAGAGAGAGAGAGAGAGAGAGAGAGAGAGAGAGAGAGAGAGAGAGAGAGAGAGAGAGAGAGAGAGAGAGAGAGACAGAGACAGAGACAGAGACACAGAGACAGAGACAGAGACAGAGACAGAGAGAGAGACAGAGAGAGAGACACAGAGACAGAGACAGAGACAGAGAGAGAGAGAGAGAGAGAGAGAGAGAGAGAGAGAGAGAGAGAGACAGAGACAGAGACAGAGACAGAGACAGAGAGAGAGAGACAGAGACAGAGACAGAGACAGAGACAGAGACAGAGACACAGACAGAGAGAGACAGAGACAGAGAGAGACAGAGAGACAGAGAGAGAGAGAGAGAGAGAGAGAGAGAGAGAGAGAGAGAGAGAGAGAGAGAGACAGAGAGAGAGAGAGAGAGAGAGAGAGAGAGAGAGAGAGAGAGAGAGAGAGAGAGAGAGAGAGAGAGAGAGAGAGAGAGAGAGAGAGAGAGAGAGAGAGAGAGAGAGAGAGAGAGAGAGAGAGAGAGAGAGAGAGAGAGAGAGAGAGAGAGAGAGAGAGAGAGAGAGAGAGAGAGAGAGAGAGAGAGAGAGAGAGAGAGAGAGAGAGAGAGAGAGAGAGAGAGAGAGAGAGAGAGAGAGAGAGAGAGAGAGAGAGAGAGAGACAGAGAGAGAGAGAGAGAGAGAGAGACAGAGAGAGACAGAGAGAGACAGAGAAACACCACTACCATTTCCTAGTGATCAAGTGTGCGGTTGACGGGTTGCGAGAGACAGGTGGCGTCGGGAAGGCGTGGTTGCTAATATTAGACAGGTTAAATATCACACGTCAACCTTGACCTGCTCTGTGACAATGCCAGCCGTGTGGCGCTCTCTACGGTGCCAGAAGGACGGGGGGGGGGGGCTAGACAACAGCTACGGTGCATTATGTGACGTAAACACTGAGAGAGGAGCGCGCCCGTCTTCCTTCTCTCCTCAGATTAGTTTTTGTTATAGTGAATTAGTGGGAGTGTGTCACCAGTCTTTTCAGGATTGCGCGTTCACATACACACGCACGCACACGCACAAGAAATACCTTTTTCAGTGTCAGAGTAGTTAACAAATGGAATGCACAAGGAAGTAATGTGGTGGAGGCTAACTCCATACACAGTTTCAAGTGTAGATATGATAAGAGCCCAATAGGTTCAGGAATCTGTACACCTGTTGATTGACAGTTGAGAGGCGGGACCAAAGAGTCGAAGCTCAACTGCCGCACCTACAACTAGGCGACTACACACACACACACACACACACACACACACACACACACACACACACACACACACACACACATACACACACACACACACACACACACACACGCACACACACAGACACACACACACACTTGTTGAAGAAGTGGCTGCTAAAATTTGACTTCAGAAAACGCAAAGTTATGAAGTTTGGTAGTGGGGACAGGACAGGTCCCATGGGCGTGGAGGCCATCCTGGAGTATGACAATAAAATACCTCTTGGTGACATCACAGTAAACCTCCTGACACACACAGTAACCACGTAACATCAGCGGCACCTGCAACGCTCACCAAAATACAGACCGTCTTCAGAGATTCCAGCAAAGACTGTATAATACACGTGTCAGATTAATTTGAGAAATATGAGGCAACTAACTGGAGACAATATCTTGTCAAACAAACAAAAAGCTGGAGAAGGTTGAGAGAGATGTCATCAGACTGGTCCCAGAGCCGAGAGGTATGAGAGAAGAAACAGAGGAGATATGATCACCACATACAAATTGCTCAGGTGAATTGGCATGATTGACAAGGATAGATTTAAGATTCTTGGCACAGGAAGAAGGAGACAGGTAAAAATTAAGTATCCGAATGAACCACAGGTACTGAACAACTTCCTGAGGCTCAGAACAATAACACAAAAACTCTGCAGTGAATTAATGTAATTTTGTAACTAACTCATCAAGATTGTAACTTGCTTAGCTAAATGAACTGTGGGGTTCAGTCCCTGAGCCCATTATGTGCCTCTGTAACCCTTTCCACTACCGCCCACAAGATGGGTATGGGGTGCATAATAAATGAACTAAACTAACTGAATTAATGTAGATTTAGATTTTTTATTGAGGTAAAGGTACATACATAGAGGATGAGTTCCAAACATAATGTTGGATATAAAGATAGAGCTAGTACATACAATACCTAAAGCTACTAATACACACAGCGTTTCGGGCAAGGAAACGCTGTTTCCTTGCCCGAAACAAAGGCAAGTGTTTGCTTGCCCTTACTGTAGCCGGACTTGGTGATGGATGTACACGTAGTTGTGGCGGAACACGGCCAGCTACTTAGGAACCCCTGTGTTGAAGGTTGAGAGGCGCCACCCCAAGAGTAAGCACGCCAAACACACTTAGGAACCCCTGTGTTGAAGGTTGAGAGGCGCCACCCCCAAGAGTAAGCACGCCAAACACACTTAGGAACCCCTGTGTTGAAGGTTGAGAGGCGCCACCCCAAGAGTAAGCACGCCAAACACACTTAGGAACCCCTGTGTTGAAGGTTGAGAGGCGCCACCCCAAGAGTAAGCACGCCAAACACACTTAGGAACCCCTGTGTTGAAGGTTGAGAGGCGCCACCCCAAGAGTAAGCACGCCAAACACACTTAGGAACCCCTGTGTTGAAGGTTGAGAGGCGCCACCCCAAGAGTAAGCACGCCAAACACACTTAGGTCAACACAACAGTGGGGGGCCTGGTAGATAGCACGCAGGACTCGTAATTCTGTGGCGCGGGTTCCTGTTGCACGAGGCAGAAACAAATGGGCAAAGTTTCTTTCACCCCTGGAATGCCCCTGTTACTTAGCAGAAAATAGGTACCTGGGAGTTAGTCAGCTGTCACGGGCTGCTTCCTGGTGTGTGTGTGTGTGTGTGTGTGTGTTGTGAAAAAAAAGTAGTTAGTAAACAGTTGATTGACAGTTGAGAGGCGGGCCGAAAGAGCAAAGCTCAACCCCCGCAAACACAACGAGGTGAACACACACACACAAGAAAATACAAGATGTCTTTGGTGCTTCAGAGTGTTGAACACTTGAGACTCCTGACAAGCACAACCAGGCGAGTACAAACATTTACAAACATAATCACTTAGCACTAAACATAAAATGTTCTTCAAATAATGTTTAAGCAATGGCCATCCAGCACTAAACATTATCACTCAAGACTTAACATTCCCAACCTTACGTACTAACTGCTAAGTGTCAAGTGCTAAAGCAAGCACTTGCCACTTATAATGTGACTTAACTCCATCACAGTAACCATCCATCAGCGGTAGTTACCAGCACTAACTACCTCTCACTGACTGCCTGAAAGTCACTCTTTCTCATGTACGAATTCTTTGTCATATCTGGCCCTCAAGTTGTGGGTGGAGCGTTGATAGTCTTTGATGGTGATGGTGGTGATGTTGGTGGTGGTGATGGTGGTGATGGTGGTGATGGTGATGATGATGGTGATGATGGTGATGGTGATGGTGATGATGATGGTGGTGATGGTGATGATGATGGTGATGATAGTGATGGTGATGATGATGGTGATGGTGGTGATGTTGGTGGTGGTGATGGTGGTGATGGTGATGATGATGGTGATGATAGTGATGGTGATGATGATGGTGGTGATGATGGTGATGATGATGGTGGTGATGGTGATGATGGTGGTGATGATGGTGGTGATGGTGATGATGATGGTGGTGATGATGGTGATGATGGTGATGGTGATGATGATGGTGATGGTGATGATGATGATGGTGATGGTGGTGATGGTGATGATGATGGTGATGGTGATGGTGATGATGGTGATGATGATGGTGATGGTGATGATGATGATGATGGTGATAGTGATGGTGATGATGATGATGATGGTGATAGTGATGGTGATGATGATGGTGGTGATGGTGGTGATGGTGATGATAGTGATGGTGATGATGATGGTGGTGATGATGATGGTGGTGATGATGGTGGTGATGGTGGTGGTGATGGTGATGATGATGATGGTGGTGATAATGGTGATTGTTATGATGATGGTGGTGATGGTGATGGTGATGATGGTGGTGATGATGGTGGTGATGGTGATGGTGGTGATAATGGTGATTGTGATGATGATGGTGGTGATGGTGGTGATGGTGATGGTGGTAATGGTGGTAATGGTGATGATGGTGATGATAGTAGTGATGGTGATGATTGTGATGTTGATGGTGATGGTGATGATGTTGATGGTGATGATGGTGATGATGTTGATGGTGATGGTGATGATGATGATGGTGATGGTGATGGTGACAAAGGCAGAAGGAGGAAGAGGAAGAAGGTTCATCCCATGCACTCAACAACAGCCTGGCTTCACCCATGCACTCAACAACAGCCTGGCTTCACCCATGCACTCAACAACAGCCTGGCTTCATCCCATGCACTCAACAACAGCCTGGCTTCACCCATGCACTCAACAACAGCCTGGCTTCACCCATGCACTCAACAACAGTCTGGCTTCACCCATGCACTCAACAACAGTCTGGCTTCATCCCATGCACTCAACAGCCTGGCTTCATCCCATGCACTCAACAACAGTCTGGCTTCACCCATGCACTCAACAACAGTCTGGCTTCATCCCATGCACTCAACAACAGCTTGGCTTCATCCCATGCACTCAACAACAGCCTGGTTTCATCCCATGCACTCAACAACAGCCTGGTTTCATCCCATGCACTCAACAACAGCCTGGCTTCATCCCATGCACTCAACAACAGCCTGGCTTCATCCCATGCACTCAACAACAGTCTGGCTTCATCCCATGCACTCAACAACAGTCTGGCTTCATTCCATGCACTCAACAACAGCTTGGCTTCATCCCATGCACTCAACAACAGCCTGGCTTCATTCCATGCACTCAACAACAGCCTGGCTTCATCCCATGCACTCAACAACAGTCTGGCTTCATCCCATGCACTCAACAACAGCCTGGCTTCATCCCATGCACTCAACAACAGCCTGGCTTCACCCATGCACTCAACAACAGCCTGGCTTCACCCCATGCACTCAACAACAGTCTGGCTTCACCCATGCACTCAACAACAGTCTGGCTTCACCCATGCACTCAACAACAGTCTGGCTTCACCCATGCACTCAACAACAGTCTGGCTTCACACATGCACTCAACAACAGTCTGGCTTCACACATGCACTCAACAACAGTCTGGCTTCACCCCATGCACTCAACAACAGTCTAGCTTCACCCCATGCACTCAACAACAGTCTAGCTTCACCCCATGCACTCAACAACAGTCTAGCTTCACCCCATGCACTCAACAACAGTCTAGCTTCACCCCATGCACTCAACAACAGCCTGGCTTCACCCATGCACTCAACAACAGTCTAGCTTCACCCCATGCACTCAACAACAGTCTAGCTTCACCCCATGCACTCAACAACAGCCTGGCTTCACCCATGCACTCAACAACAGTCTGGCTTCATCCCATGCACTCAACAACAGTCTGGCTTCACCCATGCACTCAACAACAGTCTGGCTTCACCCATGCACTCAACAACAGTCTAGCTTCACCCCATGCACTCAACAACAGTCTAGCTTCACCCCATGCACTCAACAACAGTCTAGCTTCACCCCATGCACTCAACAACAGTCTGGCTTCATCCCATGCACTCAACAACAGTCTGGCTTCATCCCATGCACTCAACAACAGTCTGGCTTCACCCATGCACTCAACAACAGTCTAGCTTCACCCCATGCACTCAACAACAGTCTAGCTTCACCCCATGCACTCAACAACAGTCTAGCTTCACCCCATGCACTCAACAACAGTCTGGCTTCACACATGCACTCAACAACAGCCTGGCTTCACCCATGCAATCAACAACAGTCTGGCTTCACATATGCACTCAACAACAGTCTGGCTTCAAACATGCACTCAACAACAGCCTGGCTTCACCCATGCACTCAACAACAGCCTGGCTTCACACATGCACTCAACAACAGCCTGGCTTCACTCATGCACCCAACAACAGTCTGGCTTCACACATGCACTCAACAAAAGTGTTTTTATCGTTTCCGTTATCAACCGTAACTTATAACGGGAGATGTTATCACTCTGAGTCAGAGGAGAAGAACAAAGCCAATACTCGTATAAGACCCGTAATGGTCCTCTCACTTACAGATGAAGGTCAAGTGCTCAACCATCGCTACGTAACTGTCACGCAGTTAATTAAGCTAGTTGCCACATTGTAAAATGTCACGTCTGTGTTGTGGTGGATCAGTTGTGTTGTGGTGGATCAGCTGTGTTGTGGTGGATCAGCTGTGTTGTGATGGATCAGCTGTGTTGTGATGGAACAGCTGTGTTGTGGTGGATCAGCTATGTTGTGATGGAACAGCTGTGTTGTGATGGAACAGCTGTGTTGTGATGGAACAGCTGTGTTGTGATGGAACAGCTGTGTTGTGATGGATCAGCTGTGTTGTGATGGAACAGCTGTGTTGTGATGGATCAGCTGTGTTGTGATGGAACAGCTGTGTTGTGATGGATCAGCTGTGTTGTGGTGGATCAGCTGTGTTGTGATGGATCAGCTGTGTTGTGGTGGATCAGCTGTGTTGTGATGGATCAGCTGTGTTGTGGTGGATCAGCTGTGTTGTGATGGATCAGCTGTGTTGTGGTGGATCAGCTGTGTTGTGATGGATCAGCTGTGTTGTGGTGGATCAGCTGTGTTGTGATGGATCAGCTGTGTTGTGGTGGATCAGCTGTGTTGTGATGGATCAGCTGTGTTGTGGTGGATCAGCTGTGTTGTGGTGGATCAGCTGTGTTGTGATGGATCAGCTGTGTTGTGATGGATCAGCTGTGTTGTGATGGATCAGCTGTGTTGTGGTGGATCAGCTGTGTTGTGGTGGATCAGCTGTGTTGTGATGGATCAGCTGTGTTGTGGTGGATCAGCTGTGTTGTGGTGGATCAGCTGTGTTGTGGTGGATCAGCTGTGTTGTGGTGGATCAGCTGTGTTGTGATGGAACAGCTGTGTTGTGGTGGATCAGCTGTGTTGTGGTGGATCAGCTGTGCCGTGGCAGAGCAGCTGTGAGGTAAGGTTGGGGTCGTGGGCAAGCCCTGGTCTTAGCACTCAAGGATAACTCAAGGATAACTCAAGGATAACTCAAGGATAACTCAAGGATAACTCAAGGATAACAATATAGCAGTACCTGTTATCCCTGCAGGTGTGGGCGAGAGTGTGGGGAGGACACGTGAGGGTGGACACTCCGTCCCCCAGAGCCTGGGGACGGTGTGGACCGTCGGACCTGCCTCGGACCTGCCCATCCTCGGACCTCGGACCTGCCCATCAGTCCGCAGGTCTGATGTTCTACACGTCTGTCAACCTCTGGAGGCATGTTAAGGCCACCACAAGAGCTTATTCATCCGGAAGGTTGAGAGGCGGGACCACAGAGTCGAAGCTTAACCACCACAAGTACAATAACGTAAAGGACATAACGGGGGATGGGAAAGCTGGGTTTAAGAGCTGAAGCTCGATCCTGCAGGCACAAATTACACACACACACACACACACACACACACACACACACACACACACACACACACACACACACACACACACACACACACACAGAGTACAGTTGAGAGGTGGGACCAAAGAGCCAAAGCTCAACCCCCGCAAGCACAAATAGGTGAGTACACACACACACACACACACATAAAGGAGCCTGACGGCTGAGTGGACAATGCTCGGGATTCGTAGTCTAGGGTCCGGGGATCGATCCCCGGCGGAGGCGAAAACAAACGAGCAGAATTTCTTTCACCCTGATGCTCCGGTTCACCTAGCAGTTAGACAGCTGTTACGAGCTGCTTCCAGGGTGTGTGTGTGTGTGTGGGGGGGGGGAGAATCAGTCGATTGACAGTTGAGAGGCGGGCCCAAAGAGCCAGAGCTCAACCCCCGCCAGTACAACTAGGGGAGTACAGATCATTCACAAACACTTGGGGTGACAAGAAGTGGTTACCTCACCACAACCTTCACATCATGTCCTATTTTTTCCTCTTTTACTGATGTGAGGCAGCGCCTGGCGATGGCGCCCCACGCTGTGACCAGCCACGGCACCTACACCCACCACACGGCACCTACACCCACCACACGGCACCTACACCCACCACACGGCACCTACACCCACCACACGGCACCTACACCCACCACACACGGCACCTACACCCACCACACACGGCACCTACACCCACCACACGGCACCTACACCCACCACACACGGCACCTACACCCACCACACACGGCACCTACACCCACCACACACGACACCTACACCCACCACACACGACACCTACACCCACCACACACGACACCTACACCCACCACACACGACACCTACACCCACCACACACGGCACCTACACCCACCACACACGGCACCTACACCCACCACACGGCACCTACACCCACCACACGGCACCTACACCCACCACACACGGCACCTACACCCACCACACGGACCCTACACCCACCACACGGCACCTACACCCACCACACACACGGCACCTACACCCACCACACACACGGCACCTACACCCACCACACACACGGCACCTACACCCACCACACGGCACCTACACCCACCACACACACGGCACCTACACCCACCACACACACGGCACCTACACCCACCACACACACGGCACCTACACCCACCACACACACGGCACCTACACCCACCACACACACGGCACCTACACCCACCACACACACGGCACCTACACCCACCACACACACGGCACCTACACCCACCACACACACGGCACCTACACCCACCACACACACGGCACCTACACCCACCACACGGCACCTACACCCACCACACGGCACCTACACCCACCACACGGCACCTACACCCACCACACACACGGCACCTACACCCACCACACGGCACCTACACCCACCACACGGCACCTACACCCACCACACGACACCTACACCCACCACACACACGGCACCTACACCCACCACACACACGGCACCTACACCCACCACACGGCACCTACACCCACCACACGGCACCAACACCCACCACACGGCACCTACACCCACCACACGGCACCTACACCCACCACACACACGGCACCTGCACCCACCACACACACGGCACCTGCACCCACCACACACACGGCACCTGCACCCACCACACGGCACCTGCACCCACCACACACACGGCACCTACACCCACCACACGGACCCTACACCCACCACACGGCACCTACACCCTCCACACGGACCCTACACTCTCCACACGGCACCTACACCCACCACACGGACCCTACACCCACCACACGGACCCTACACCCACCACGCGGACCCTACACCCACCACACGGACCCTACACCCAGCACACGGCACCTACACCCTCCAAACGGCACCTACACCCACCACACGGCACCTACACCCACCACACGGACCCTACACCCACCACACGGACCCTACACCCACCACACGGACCCTACACCCACCACACGGACCCTACACCCACCACAAGGCACCTACACCCACCACACGGCACCTACACCCACCACACACGGCACCTACACCCACCACACGGACCCTACACCCACCACACGGACCCTACACCCACCACACGGACCCTACACCTACCACACGGACCCTACACCTACCACACGGACCCTACACCCACCACACGGCACCTACACCCACCACACGGCACCTACACCCACCACACAGGACATACACCCACCACACGATACCTACACCCACCACACGGCACCTACACCCACCACACACGGCACCTACACCCACTACACGGCACCTACACCCACCACACACGGCACCTACACCCACCACACACGGCACTTACACCCACCACACACGGCACCTACACCCACCACACACGGCACCTACACCCACCACACACGCCACCTACACCCACCACACGCCACCTACACCCACCACACACGGCACCTACACCCACCACACACGACACCTACACCCACCACACACGGCACCTACACCCACCACACACGGCACCTACACCCACCACACACGGCACCTACACCCACCACACACGGCACCTACACCCACCACACATGGCACCTACACCCACCACACACGGCACCTACACTCACCACACGGCACCTACACCCACCACAGGGCACCTACACCCACCACAGGGCACCTACACCCACCACAGGGCACCTACACCCCACAGGGCACCTACACCCACCACAGGGCACCTACACCCACCACACACGGCACCTACACCCACCACACACGGCACCTACACCCACCACAGGGCACCTACACCCACCACAGGGCACCTACACCCACCACACACGGCACCTACACCCACCACAGGGCACCTACACCCACCACAGGGCACCTACACCCACCACAGGGCACCTACACCCACCACAGGCCACCTACACCCACCACAGGCCACCTACACCCACCACACACGGCACCTACACCCACCACACACGGCACCTACACCCACCACACGGCACCTACACCCACCACACGGCACCTACACCCACCACACACGGCACCTACACCCACCACACACGGCACCTACACCCACCACACACGGCACCTACACCCACCACACACACGGCACCTACACCCACCACACACGGCACCTACACCCACCACACACGGCACCTACACCCACCACACACGGCACCTACACCCACCACACACGGCACCTACACCCACCACACACGGCACCTACACCCACCACACACGGCACCTACACCCACCACACGACACCTGCACCCACCACACGACACCTGCACCCACCACACGACACCTACACCCACCACACACGACACCTACACCCACCACACACGGCACCTACACCCACCACACGACACCTGCACCCACCACACGACACCTGCACCCACCACACGACACCTACACCCACCACACACGGCACCTACACCCACCACACACGGCACCTACACCCACCACACACGGCACCTACACCCACCACACGACACCTACACCCACCACACACGGCACCTACACCCACCACACACGACACCTACACACACCACACACGGCACCTACACCCACCACACACGACACCTACACCCACCACACACGGCACCTACACCCACCACACACGACACCTACACCCACCACACACGACACCTACACCCACCACACACGGCACCTACACCCACCACACACGACACCTACACCCACCACACACGACACCTACACCCACCACACACGGCACCTACACCCACCACACACGACACCTACACCCACCACACACGACACCTACACCCACCACACACGACACCTACACCCACCACACACGACACCTACACCCACCACACACGACACCTACACCCACCACACACGACACCTACACCCACCACACACGACACCTACACCCACCTACCACACACGGCACCTACACCCACCACACACGACACCTACACCCACCACACACGACACCTACACCCACCACACACGGCACCTACACCCACCACACACGACACCTACACCCACCACACACGGCACCTACACCCACCACACACGACACCTACACCCACCACACACGACACCTACACCCACCACACACGACACCTACACCCACCACACACGACACCTACACCCACCACACACGACACCTACACCCACCACACACGACACCTACACCCACCACACACGACACCTACACCCACCACACACGACACCTACACCCACCACACACGACACCTACACCCACCACACACGACACCTACACCCACCACACACGACACCTACACCCACCACACACGCACCTACACCCACCACACACGACACCTACACCCACCACACACGACACCTACACCCACCACACACGACACCTACACCCACCACACACGACACCTACACCCACCACACGCAGGTTTCAGTGGTTTTCCACATTGCAATTTAATACTCTCATATGAAGGAGCAGGTGCTAGCGTGGTTGGTAGGAAAGGCCCCAGGTTCGATTCTCGGGCAGGACGAGGCGTTTGTACGTTTGGTTACCCCCCCCCCCCCCCCCCCCCCCCCCCGCATCTCTGTCCACCTAGCAGTAAAGGGGGTACCCTGGACCTAGGCGACTGTTGTGGGCTGCATCCTGGGGCGGCATGTTAGGTCTCCTGAAACAATGGGGAACCACACCATGCACCTTCCAGTTTAATTACCTTTATAGTTCACTACCAGTCCACAGAACTTAATTATTACGAAATGAAAATTATTTTGTAATTGTCGAAAGGCAGAAAATACTATGTAGCACTGTCTGTAATTATTAATGCAACCGTATATATATAAAAATTGAGGTTAAGACTGTAAATAGTTTTAGAGCGATTAATTAATGTTGTTGTTTAAGATTCGCTACTTGGAACAAACAGTTCCAAGTAGCACGGGCTATGGTGAGCCCGTAGTCGATTAATTAAGAACTTCTCTTTCATTATAAGAAGGAGATTATAGGAACAAAATAGAGACATATTTCACCGAGCCTTAGGATTAGCTACATCAATCTTGGGGTCATTTGCCCCTAAGGTGAGACACTGAAGGCAACAGGTCCCTGTTGACCCACTAGCATCACTGAGGATCCCCAGAGGATCCAACACTTAGTCTGCTTACTATACTTTAGCCAGCATCAAGAGCAACTTCTTAAGTCACTCAACAGCCTCCAGGTCACGGGAACCACCCCACAACCCACCACGTACAGGTTCCTCCCCCACCACGTACAGGTTCCTCCCCCACCACGTACAGGTTCCTCCCCCACCACGTACAGGTTCCTCCCCCACCACGTACAGGTTCCTCCCCCACCACGTACAGGCTCCTCCCCACCACGTACAGGTTCCTCCCCCACCACGTACAGGTTCCTCCCCCACCACGTACAGGCTCCTCCCCACCACAGAGGAATAAAAAGTATTAGTTTCCAGATACAAGAGCGAGAGTTAGATTTAATGTGTGTGTGTGAGAGGTGGATCAGGTAGAGCTGCAAGAGAGGACTTGCAGTAACACGCCAGACTTGACAACTTGCCGCTGCAGAGTATTGATCCGCGGCCACAAACTGAAGACCAATAATTGAAGCCTTGACGCACTCTTGCGTCATCCCTCCGTCGAGTTCAGGTCGTGGACAACAGTCCGGTACCTTCAGACCTCAGGAGTGTCTAGCAACACCACCAGGGGCTCCATGTTCTCTCTTGGAGGACTTCCAGCCCCTGGTGCTGGACGATAGAGCAAGGTTCTTGCTTCATGCTGGTCGGTGTTAAATCCCCGACCGTCCAAGTGGTTGGGCACCATTCCTTCCCCCCGTCCCATCCCAAATCCTGACCCCTTCCCAGTGCTATATAGTCGTTATGGCTTGGCGGCGCCAAGTTTGAGTTGTAATTTCCCTTTCATTAATTGGGCAAATATTTAAATTTTCTTCCAGGTTTATCCTGAATATTTTTTCCCAGAACTTCCTGAATTCCTGTTCTTGTAATTATTGTTAATGACTGGATGGCTATGTTGAATCTGATGAGTCTCTTCCACCTTGAGGATTGTTTAGGATCGGTCCATAACCATTGCGCATTGCGTTAAACTCCTCGCCGCTTATGTGTTGAATGGTTATGGTGTTCGGGTATAAAGTACCGGACATTATCTGGTCGTTCACGTCACTCGTAGTGACACCGGGAATGTTGTGTTGGAATTTTATGTGCTGAGTGTTGATTTGGTCTCGGAGGGTCTTGAGGGTAACCGTTTGGGTTGCTTTTCTTGAGAAGAAATTGATTGTGTTTGGGACCTCTACTGAGGCTTGGGGGGGGGGGGGACCCCCTTCCGTCACCGGCGGGAAGCCAACCTCAATACAGTCCCACGGCTCTTATAACCTTCAGACACCCCCACCTTATTTAGAAAGGTCATATTATATATATATATATATGTCGTACCTAATAGCCAGAATGCACTTCTCGGCCTAATATGCAAGGCCCGATTTGCATAATAAGCAAAGTTTTCCTGAATTAATATATTTTCTCTAATTTTTTTTCTTATGAAATGATAAAGCTACCTATTTCATTATGTATGAGGTCAATTTTTTTTTATTAGAGCTACAATTAACGTAGATATATGACCGAACCTAACCAACCCTACCTAACCTAACCTATCTTTATAGGTTAGGTTAGGTTAGGTAGCCGAAAAAGTTAGGTTAGGTAGGTTAGGTAGCCGAAAAACAATTAATTCATGAAAACTTGGCTTATTAGGCAAATTGGGCCTTGAATAGTAGGCTGAGAAGTGCGTTCTGGCTACTAGGTACGACATATACATATATACATATTATATATATATACATATATATATATATATATATATATATATATTAGTATATTTTGGTAGCAGTCTTTCCTGTAGACATATATTATTAAATATGACCGAAAAAGTAAGATTAATAATTCTAACACGAATTTTCTCTATCTTTCGTACATTTCTTTTCACTGTTGGTGGTAATTCAAAAATCAATTCTCCAAAATTCCTTTTTATTTCTAGTCTGACGCGACACTTGAGCGCGTTTCGTAAAACTTATTACATTTTCAAAGACTTTAGTTTACACATACACAACTGAATAGAACTTACACATCTCCGATTTGTTTATATCTACATTTGAGTGAGGTGGATGGGGTGAGGTGGTATTAATAGGGTATTAATTTCATCAACACAAGACAGAACACGAAACAATGGGTATTGAATGGAAGTGATTGTAGAAAGCCTATGGGTCCATATTTCTTGATGCTTCTATATTGGAGCGGAGTCTTGAGGTGGGTAGAATATAGTTGTGCATTAATTGGCTGTTGATTGCTGGTGTTGACTTTTTAATGTGTAGTGCCTCGCTAACGTCAAGCCGTCTGCTATCGCTGTATCTATCGATACAGATACAGCGATAGCAGACGGCTTGACGTTTGCGAGGCATGTACCGATGCTACACATTTCATATGTGCTATGTAATGTACATGTTTCTTCAACATGTAGTTGATTATTGGGTTAAGTCAGGTCTTGGGGAGCACTTATCCTTGTGAAAGATCTTCGTGGTAAATCACGATTTACACTCTTATACATGTTTCAGGCTTTGGCCTCGACTCATTTGTTCCGTATATTTTTTTTCGTGTGGTTAATTATGCTTGCCTTTCAAGGGGTAAAAGTCACCCCTACGCAGGCCAACCCTGGGGCAGAACTGCAGGATCCTGGCTTCCCCGGAGCGGATGACCCCCGGGGCAACATTATGGATTCCTATACCATCACTAAGGCAGCAGGTCAACCCTAGGACAGTGCTTAGGGCTTCTAGTCCCCATGGGGCGGGTGGTCGCCCCTGAGGGCGGGTGGTCGCCCCTGGGGGCGGGTGGTCGCCCCTGGGGGCGGGTGGTCGCCCCTGGGGGCGGGTGGTCGCCCCTGGGGGCGGGTGGTCGCCCCTGGGGGCGGTTGGTCGCCCCTGGGGGCGGGTGGTCGCCCCTGGGGGCGGGTGGTCGCCCCTGGGGGCGGGTGGTCGCCCCTGGGGGCGGGTGGTCGCCCCTGGGGGCGGGTGGTCGCCCCTGGGGGCGGGTAGTCGCCCCTGGGGGCGGGTAGTCGCCCCTGGGGGCGGGTAGTCGCCCCTGGGGGCGGGTGGTCGCCCCTGGGGGGCAGGTGGTCGCCCCTGGGGGCGGGTGGTCGCCCCTGTGGAGGGCAAGAGGTCACCTCCTGGAGAATGAGGCAGTTACCAGCTGGAGGAACAGCTGTCCACCCCGAAGGTTCCCTGCCCTCCGCATATCCATCACTAACATTGCAAGTTTTTCTACAAATGTTCGAAGCTCTCATGACTAGTCTGACCTTCTGCGTGAAATATTAATTTCTGCCATTTGGGTTCCGTTACGGCTCACTCCCCGTGTCTGGTGGACACGCAAATACATCCTGCCCTCGACCTTCTCCTCTCCCCACCTAACAAAGGCACACAGGAAACGGAAAGACTAATTAAAGACATTAAGTCTATGAATAAAAAAATAATATTATCTTTCCCATTAAGCTGATGCTTCAGTTGGTTACCGGGTTGGTTGTCATGATGACTTTATGGTGGCTGGCCTCGAGGGCCCTGTCTCCTCTACCACCACAGAATGGGGGCCCCTGCCTCCTCTACCACCACAGAATGGGGGGCCCCTGCCTCCTCTACCACCACAGAATGGGGGCCCCTGCCTCCCTCTGCCGCCACAGAATGGGGGGCCCCTGCCTCCCTCTGCCGCCACAGAATGGGGGGCCCCTGCCTCCCTCTGCCGCCACAGAATGGGGGCCCCTAGCTGCCCCCTCTGCCGCCACAGAATGGGGGCCCCTAGCTGCCCCCTCTGCCGCCACAGAATGGGGGCCCCTAGCTGCCCCCTCTTCCGCCACAGAATGGGGGCCCCTAGCTGCCCCCTCTGCCGCCACAGAATGGGGGCCCCTGCCCCCTCTACCACCACAGAATGGGGGCCCCTGCCCCCTCTACCACCACAGAATGGGAGAACTGAACTCTGGGAACTGAACAGACACCGATGTACAGAAAGCCTAGCCGCACGTCTATGGGTCATCCAATAATGTTAGCAGACTTCTAGACGTTACCACTGCTAGGCTTAGGCTCGGCTACAAGTACCTCTGGCAGTTTGTAACATCTGCTGATGTAGATTTGACTAAATGTAAACTCTGTCAGCAGAACTATTCGCATACTTTGCGTCATTATATAATGGAATGTGAAAAAATTGCGGAATTTAGAGATAACACCATCAATAGTGTCCAAGAAATGTGTAAGTACTGTACTTCATTCATAATGATGTGCTGCCAGAAATCTTAGTGAAGTATCCAAAATTTGCTTACTGTAGGTAATGCATGCACATGACTAAAGCTGCCGCCCAGTTGGGTGGGAGTGGAGCACATGACTGTAAAGCTGCCGCCCAGTTGGGTGGGTGTGGAGCACATGACTGTAAAGCTGCCGCCCAGTTGGGTGGGAGTGGAGCACATGACTGTAAAGCTGCCGCCCAGTTGGGTGGGTGTGGAGCACATGACTGTAAAGCTGCCGCCCAGTTGGGTGGGTGTGGAGCACATGACTGTAAAGCCGCCGCCCAGTTGGGTGGGAGTGGAGCACATGACTGTAAAGCTGCCGCCCAGTTGGGTGGGTGTGGAGCACATGACTGTAAAGCTGCCGCCCAGTTGGGTGGGTGTGGAGCACATGACTGTAAAGCTGCCGCCCAGTTGGGTGGGTGTGGAGCACATGACTGTAAAGCTGCCGCCCAGTTGGGTGGGTGTGTAGCAAGACTAGTAACTGTGTGACTCACCATAGATGTAAAGTGCCTTGTATAGTGACTGTTGTGAGCCTCTTGTTGATCACCTGTGACACAAAAAGATTATTGATGTGTGTATTTGTGTGGGTGATAAAATATGTTTGTGTATGTATATATATGTATACGTATGTATATGTACATGTAAGCACGAGTATGTGTACATGTATATATAACATTAATAATTTTGTAACTGGCGTCAAAAGATTGTTATTTACTTAGCTAAACGAACTAGAGCGTTCAGTTCCGGAACCGATTATGTGCCTCTGTAATCCTTTACACCACCGCCCACGGGATGGGTACGGGGTGCATAATAAAGAAATTGAATTGGTGTCTCTGTCCCTTGTACCTCAACTGCAGTCAATAAGTTACAGCAACAATGTAGAGACAGACTCAAGGCTCTCAGAACTGTAGTGGGGTACGGCCCTAAATACGGTGTTAATGTTAGAATAGCAAAAATGATGCATTTAGCATATATAAGGTCTCTGATAGACTATCATGCACCAGCATGATAGTCTATCATGCTGGTGCATCATAGACTATAGAGTACAGCACTTCTTTCCACCCTGGCAGATAGTACCTTGTGACATCCTGACCCCAGCATACCCCACCAAGAAACTAATCACAACCCTCATGCTCAGCTTGCTGCTAACCTAAGCACCATAGAACACGTACACAATATACAAACTGAAAACAACATAACACAGACCATATACACTGACGGATCACTCAATACAGCTACAGGGAGGGCAGGAAGTGCTGTTATTGCTCATCAACCCGATAGCAGCACAATTCAAAGGAAAATCCGAATTTGTAACTGGGCGTCCACAATGCAAGCCTAGTTGGTAGCAATACTGGTAGCACTCGAAATTATTGACAACACTAAAGTAGACAGCTTATTTCCGACTCCCTTTCCTCACTACGAGCAATAAATACTTTACAATCAAGTAATAACGTGCTTGTCTCCGAAGTCAGACATAGATATATATATATAATGTTGTGGAGTTCTTCTCACATTGGCCTGCAGGAACATGATAAAGTTGACGCCCTTGCTAAGGCTGCAGTAAATAAAGACGGTGTTGAACGGAATCTTGAGTTATCAAATAGGTCCCTTAAAGTGTCATTAGACGAGAACTCTTGGAGGAATTTGAAGAAAGCAGAACAGTGCAAACTGGAACTAGCAGGTCCATTGTTCATCACAATGAAATGGATGTCCACTTATGGATGTCAACCAACAAAACTAACTCTTAACATAAAAAAGACCTACTACATCTTATTTGGAAGCAAATCTACAAATGCAATTCAGCTTCAGATAGGCAATGTAAACATTAGCAATAAAAATGATGGAAAGTTTCTCGGCCTATTCCTAGACAAGAGACTCAACTTCAGCACCCACATACAACACATAACTAAGAAAGTCTCTAAGACAGTTGGTATACTCTCCAAAATCAGATATTATGTACCTAACTCTGCTCTCATCTCTCTATATTATGCACTAATCTATCCCTATCTCAACTATGGTATCTGTGCATGGGGTTCAACCACTGCAAACCACCTCAAGTCCATCATCACCCAGCAAAATCTGCTATCAGAATAATAACAAATTCTGCTTTCAGACAACACTCAGCCCCCTTGTTTAACTCCCTAAACATGCTAAACAATCTCACTAAACAAATTATCTTATGTCAATTACATTTACAAAACCCTGTTCTTAAATGCAAATCCTGCTCTGAAACTCTCCCTGGACAGATGTAATAGGACCCATTAGCACCACACCAAAAATAAATATCTCTTTGATATCCCCAGAGTTAAACTTAATCAATGTAAACACTCTATGCAAATAAAGGGACTCAGTCTATGGAACTCACTCCCTATTGAATTGAAAAGCTGTCCAACTTTTGCGTCATTCAAAAAAATACTAAAAAGTACCTAATTTCATCCTCATAGTTTTTTACCTTTTGCTTTAAAATTGCACTGTATCTATTGCTACCCAATCTCCCAGTCTTTATGTACCCAATCCGAACATGTTTACCATTGTGATCATTGCTGTCTTCTTATATGTACTGTCAATCTGCTGTATGGTGTCTATTAATCTTGTTTAAATTACCAATCAAGCTGTCAATGTAATCAATCAGAGCTTTGATATACCAATGTGCTTTAATATACTTACTAATCTCTCTCATCTCATTTTTTTCTTGCAATGTATTTGTTATCATTTTATTAATTCTGCTAGAATTTACCTACTTAAAATTATCTGTTAGATTAAGGACCTGCCCGAAACGCTGCGCGTACTAGTGGCTTTACAAGAGTGCAATTACTGTACTATGCTATGTATTCTCACAAACCCAATGTACCTTCTTGTATATAAATAAATAAATAAAATAAATAAATAAAATGTGTGAAGTAAAACATGTGTATGGGGCAAGTAACAAAGTCAGTAGACTAACAGATGTTGTCACAGCTCGTATAAGACTTGGCTACAAGTATCTCTGGCAGTTGGGCTTGTATAGGGATCTAGATGAAGTAAAGTGTAAAGTGTGTGGACAAAGACAGGGACACACACTCCAACACTATATCTTGGACTGTAGTCAAATTGAGCCACTTAGAGATAAATCTAAACTCACGTTGTATGATATGGCAAACCATCTTATTACTAAGGATAAAATACCTGAAATCCTTGCACTGTATCCATACTTCGCTCCCAGTAGATAAACGACACATGAGATTAAGAAACAAGTAGTGTATTGTGAAGACTAATAATAAACAGCAGCTTCCCTATGACTCTGTAATATCCCCATTGGTCAAACAATTATATATTAGCGATAAGACCTACCATTAATGTATGACGACTTACTGTAAATATATAGCTCTTGAAATAGAACATTCTCTGTAACTAGCTGACATTGTAACTATAAGGTGTGAAGGATAGATGTAATTGTTAATGTAATAATCTCTGTTGAGGTCTGATAAAGACCTTTGGTGCCACCGCTCACACGAGGAGTATGGGGTGCACAATAAACAAGCCACCTCCGGCTGCAACAGTCATCATAGTCCCGTTGACCCCCGCGGCCGTCACGCCTGTACCCACTAGTGGGAGGGCATCCCCCCCCCCCCCCGTGACAGTGACCCACCACCCACCAGGTGCCGGGGACAGGGAGACACTGTTATAGATATCAGTTACACCCCGCAACTAAGGGGTGACAGGGGGATATAAAGGTCAGGGCAACAGTGCTGTTATCACTGTCGCCAAAGTGGGACCAAACCAAATCACCGCTGCTCAGGGTCAACTATGAACCAGAGTTAAACATGCCTTACTCTCTGCGAAAAAAACTGATTCACATTTACAATATAATTTAACAACTACATACATGGAAGCTAAGTTTTTAGTCATGTTTTTGCCGGCGGTTTGGACAATGTGGCCAATTAATATGTGGGAGTTCTAGCGTGGAAGACACACACAGCACAGCTCCTGTGCCAGGTAAGTTACGGGCTCACCATAGCCCGTGCTACTTGGAA